AAAAAAAAAAAAACACCAAAAAAAAACGCCAAAAAAAAAACGAAAATGAAAAACACAGAAGAAAACGACGACTCGGCTGACTGCTCCGCACGGCAACACCCACACCCACCCACACACACACACACACACACACACACACATTTGGCTAAAACACGAAAACACAAGAATAAGAATATGAAAAATAAAAACTAAATTTAGAATGTCCACTTCCCATCGCTCGTTATGGCCTTCCTCTTCCTGAGCTCCCCTATCACGCTATCCATCGATGGAGGTCGTAAGCCCAACGGCAATGGAGTCCATGGATTCGATAATGCCTCTCGAATGGCGGAGTCCAGCAGTTCTTGCTGCGCCTGCAGCTCCGCCGCTGACGAATCACCGGCGAGCACGTCATCCCGCTCCCTTCCGCTTCCGCAGCTCTCGTTCGACGAGGAATCCACAACCACATCTCCATCGCAGTCGAGCAAGGAGGAGGGGAAAGCTATGGCGTCCATGGATGCAAAGAATGCATCGGTGGACATCAACAAGGAGGATGAAGAAGCGGCAGGAGCAGCGGAATCCGGAGGAGGAGGGGGAGGGGCAGGGGGAGGAGAAGCAGGCGGCGGAGGAGAGGCTTTGAGTTCGATGAGCGCGGAGGGAGGGGGGGACGGGTCGCAGTTGGAAGATGAGACGCAGAGCGAGGTTGCTGTTCTTGCAACTGCACCACCACCTCCTCCGCCGCCTCCTCCGCCCCCTCCCCCTCCTCCCCCTCCCCCTTCTACTCCCCCTCCCCGGCCGGCGGACGCACCGGCTGCACTGGCCACAGCTCCCCCGGTGGCGCAGCTTGCCCCCACCACCCCCCCCGGTTGTGGATGATGATGATGATGATGATGATGATGATGAGGGTGATGGTGATTAGCATGCCCAGTACATGCAGTCGACGGTTGATGCTGAGGATGACCGGACGTCGATGGCACCCCTACCCCTTCTCCCCCCCCTCCTCCTCCTCCTCCTCCTCCTCCTCCTCCTCCTCCCCTGCAGCTTCCTCGTGCCTCTTCACTCTCACATCCGATTGCCGTCACGGCCCCTGTGTGTTGTTGCGCCGCTGCAGCTGGTTGAAGTCTCGACGCCGCCGGCTGGGGGAAACACGGGGTCCCTGGCGCCGGCGCCGCAATGGGATGTATCCAAGCGCTCATGTGGGACGCCGGATGGGCCCAGATCGAACGATCAGGAGCGTTCCACAAGACCGGAGGGGAAGCAATAGCCCGGGGCTGGACC